CCGGCCGCGCTGGCTGGCGCTCCGGCGCCCGAGGGCCCCTTCCCGGCCCGCCTGCTGGACGTCAGCGGCGCCGGGACCCTGGCCCACAGCTACCAGTATGAGGTGTGTCTCTCTGGAGACTCTGGCACTGGTGAGTTCAAATTCCTCAAGCCTCTATTCCCCAACCTCGTGGGTCTGGACACGGGGAGCGAAGTTAGACAGAATTCCAACTGCAGGAACAGCTTTGCGTTCAGCTAAGTATTGTATTTGCCTCCTGAAATCTCCCATTTAATTTTCGCCAAGAGCCAAGTGCTATACTTTTCTTTTAAGAAACAATATTGTTCTTTAAATAATGTTAGTACTGTTGATAAGCTGTGCATGTCTTTTATACCACTAAATTTGTGTTTTACTCTGATCAGTTGCATGTACCAGTTTTAGTTATGCTGATACTATGTATTTTCCTATATTTGATCTTTGCTGATTAATCGTTTCATAACTATAAGTAACTCAAGGAGTATACAATTTGTACTGTAATGTACTTGTTGATATTTTATGAAAAAAACTTAAAGCTTTGATGAAATCTTGACTATTCCAAGAGGTTTTTTTTCCCCACTCCCCTTGTTACTGGAAACTGCACGCAGTGTATTTCCACTGAGCGACATCTCCAGGCCTCTCTCATTTTTTTTTGCTTTTTAATTCCTGAGTCACCAAATTTCCCAGGCTGGGTTCCAATTTGCAGTCCTCCTGCCTCAGCCTTCCAGAGTGTCCCTGTACCTTTACAATTTTACCAGAGACAGTCTCTCCAACTTTTATCATTTCTTGGCTCTTTGTGGTTTACTATACCACCAGTTTAAGCCCTCTCAGTAGCCAAGAACATAAGAACCTACAACACTTGTTTCCCTGAGTTGTATATAAACATGCACTTCATTAAAATATTGTTACACAAAAATTATGACCCTTTTCCTGCTCTGAACTCCATTTATGCTAGAGATTATTTTATTCACATAATTGCAACCTACCTAACACATTGTAAGTGTTCCATAAGTGGTAAGATAAAATTTTTTAAACTACAGTTAAATAGCAATTAAAGAGAAAATAATATTTGTCATTCTTTTTACTAAATAAAACTGTTAAATCACTCCATGACCCTTTTTAAACAAAATCTCAGAATATGAATTATTCTTTCTTGAGGGCATGATATGTCTTGTTCTGCCTTTATACTTACAAGTAGAAGTGAAATTGTAGTTTACTGTGCACATTTCCTTTTGTTTTCCAACAGCTTCTTCCTACTTTTGTAAAGAGTCAGAAATTTTTTTAGAAATTATTCTGTTTAAGTGTGATTATCGGTTAATCTCAGATATTTTTTTCTTTTTTGATGTGGACAGTCTTTATCATCAAATAATGATTTCGGTGTGATCTTTAGTTGGCTTATATTTTGTTCTTTGACATAACCCCCAGTTATTTTTAGTTAATTTAATTTTTCATTCCAGCTGACATTATCACTGTATGAAATAAGCATTGTCTCTGAAGATGGGAAGAGTAATGGATATACCTGAATTGTAGTTTTATGTTGTGTTCAGTAAGCCTAGCAAACTAATTCTATAATTTCTGACTAAAATTTATATGGATATAACTATAAGACAGCTTTACTGAACTTTTGACAGAATGTGAACAATTAAAATGTTTACTTTGCAATTTAACCTTTATTTGTAAATCTCATGTCTCATTCTCCTGGAGTTTAAGTGCTTGTGCTTTTCCCTGGATTACTAATGTTCCTGAGGATATAATAAAATAGAAAAGATATTGACTACTTAAATTACTCTTGAAATGTAACTTTTTGACTTCATTCAGTTTAAAAATTGAAGTGAGGAAGAGATGAAAGTGAGAACAGAATTAAACACAAATATGCCAGACACAAATATAGTGGTCAACTTTAGGGAGTTATCCCTTATTTATTATCAACTATTTAAGTAAAATAATTTTATGTGTGATGATATATAAAAAACCTGGTGGAAATTTTCAGCAGTACATGTCAACTTCATGAAAGTGCGCCCAGAGCCTTTGCATCGTCCCTTTGTGTATTTATGTAGTATGCAGGATTCTTTACTAGCTAGGGGCCACCACCAGATTATAGAACACTTCAACATTTTAAAATTTAACACAATGCTGCCAGCTTGAACTACCTGTGGTACATGCATGACTGTTCCATTGGGTGGTTTGTACACTAGTGGTGCTAATTGATCTAATCATTTCATCAGTCTTTTTACTAATAAAATTAATAAAAAGCTGCCTGATGGGACACTCAAGCATGTACCACCAGCAGTTGAAATCGGCCAGCAGTGATACCTATGTATTATACCACATCCTGAAAGTGTTAATTACTAGAATTTAGTCTTAACCACAATCCCAATATATTCACATACCTTCTGAAAAAAATCCCAGTTCTTTGGATACAGAATAAAATTAGAAAATGGAGGCTAAATATCTTGAGAGTAACACTGATTTAAATGTTTTATTTCAAACTTCTTTATTGTAAATGGATGTTTTATAATTTATTTACTGTTTTAAAGCACAGCATGTAGTAAGTTTAACACATGCTATTCTGAGGGCAGAAACTGTGCTGAAGGAAACATAATCTATACCCTTTCAAATCCCCTTTTCTGAGATGAAAGGGTACCTCAATTATAGAGGTACTGGCCTACATATCCATGCTCTGAATTCCATGCCCAACATCACACAGTTTGATAGAATTCTGCTTCCTAGTTAGATGGATTGCTGGTAATCCCTGGACTTGGGAAGCTGAGACAGGAGGATTGCCATGAGTTCGAGGCCAGCCAAGGCTACAAAGTGAGCTCAAGGCCAGCCTGAACTGCATAGTGAGACCCTGTCTCAAAATGGCAAAAAGGAAAAAAAAAAAAGATGGATTATCTGGCAGCAGAAAGGAATCATAAAAATTTGCTAGAAGTCATAAATTGCCTCTATAAAGCCACAGAAAGGCAATGATATGATAAGAATAAAATGGAATAAGATTTCTGAGCTGGAAAAGCTACGGATTAAGAACTGAATCCTATGGTCAGCTTTTACCCCATAGGAATTTTTCTAAATCCAAAAACAAACAACAATCAGGGTGTGGTAGCTCACATTTGTAATCCCAGCACTTGGGAGACTAAGGGAGGAGGATCCCATTGAGTTGGAGACTAGCCTGAGCTACAAAGTGAGTTCAAGGCCAGCATGAACTACATAGCGAGACTCTGTCTGAAAAAGACAAAAATAAAACAACAACAGCTAACAGGTTCTTATGGTAACATCAGTAGGTTTTGGCAGACTACAGCATTCAAGCTTTAAATATGGAAAGTAATTAATCTTTCAAATTGCATTATCTGAAAGAGTAAATAAAGCTCAAAGCATACAGTAGATAATAAGAAAGGGAAAGAAATTGCTCAATAGAAGGAACAACTGGGATGAGGAAAAGAAGAAAAAGAAAGAAGGAATACAAAATATATATATATATATGTGTGTGTGTGTGTGTGTGTGTGTGTGTGTGTTATATATACAAGGATAGCTGGGATAACTGTACTGCTGATGTCTGGTGGCTTATTGAAAGGAAGAGTTACTGCTTAATTTTTAAAATTTTGACCAATTTTGCATGCTTGTATCTGGTAATCTGAGCAACTGATTTGAAGACAACAATATGCATCATAACAATCATTGGTGAATTCCTACCATCTTGTCTAGTGCAACTCTGTATCATCTCTAAT